TGTATAGATTGTTTTAAAATTGATTTGTTCATTTTCATTATAAAACGATAAAATTTACGTACCGTCCCTACCCCATTGCACCACGAAAACCATCCCCCAAACAAATATCAAACCCTTCGTTTGATCTTGGGAGCTGGTGAGCTGTTTATTTTATTTGATTATTAATATTATTTTTAGTTTATTTTATTTTTCAACAGCCAAAGAAAAAAAACTTTTTTTTTTTTTTCGTCAGTAAATGGACGATATTTATTCTTGAATAACGTATTGGACTTATTTTGTTATTTACACAGATTTACATCAACCTGGATGAGTATAATGATGCGGATTACGTCAACTTTGATATGGCTGAGGAAGCTTAGTGAAATGAAAGCCGATGGCTTTGAGGATAGCCTGTGTACAGACCCCACTCCCCTCAGGAAAAATCGGGCCTGTCGTCAAACAAAGCAGGGAACCAGAAAATCATCACATTCACGGACAACTACACGTATGTTGCTTTTCAGATGCACTGATTTCGAATTCGGAGAAAAGAAAATCAACTGAAATCTTTGTAACATACGGTTCTTTAGCCGTACTAAAAAGCTTTAGGCTTCAAAGAGGTCAAAGAAAAACCGTTTCTACTATAACGGAATCCGAGATCAAATCCTGTCACAAACACCTACAGAAGCATAAAACCACGGGAAATAGCCTTGGACCAGGCTCCGCAGTGAAGGAAGAAGGCAGAAAAAAGGGGTCAAACAGGAAAATATCGGCGAGCGATGCAAGCCGAGTGGTGGATTGGAGAGGGGGAAATTGGCGATTTTTTCTTCTTTTCCCCCCAATTTGGAGCCTGGTCCCAGGCTAACAGGAAATAATAACTCAATATGCATAATACATGCCAGCTTCATATCCTCTAAATGCACGAATCAGAGCCCAAAATAAGATTTGTTCAGTCAAGGTTTATGGTACTCCATGCACTACGATGCATAATCTGTGCGCTAGAAAGAAAAGAAGAAAAACCTATGATGCTTAAGTAATAGAAACGCCAGTGTCACGTTTCACACTATCAAGAGCCTATTTGAGTCGCGTCTGACCTGTCTACACTTTATTTCAAACTAATAACTTTCCGTATCCAATGGGAAGGCTTGCATAAGATCATGGATCTTTTCCTTCAATAAGGGCTTGTAAAAACATTTTTCTTGCTCGGTATAGAAAAAAGCCGATTTTAAAAATCTCACTCTCTCAATTGCTCGATATGGAAATACGTCGCATGCACCGACATTTTGAGAACTGGAATGACATGAAACATGAGCCACGGAAATTTTGGTCGGCGGAAACTATTTTCAGTTTTAATTTATGCAAAATTATTCCTAAACACGATTAGCAGTAAATCACAGACGCCTCTTCTCCGATTTTTCCTGAGGGGAGGGGAAGGGGAGGTCCGCACACAGGCTACTTTGTTGAAGGATTGGTCAAAGGATAGAGATAGTTCTTTCGAGTAATTATGTAATTCACTTAAACAGCTCATGCTATCCGATTTAGGTGGAGATACAGTAAAATTTTTTGGCGCCACACTTTTTGTTTAAACGGTCAAAAAAAAAAACAAAGATTAGCGAGGACTGGTTTATTTTCGAACTCCTCGCAAGGTGAATACTTGTGTGTGTGTCTTTGCTTGGCAAATACCGAGACACTGGAAACGTTGCGGATCGCATTTGGAACCCTTAAAATTAGAGCTAAACTGTCAATAACTGTTGGTGCATTTAAGCAGCCATGTTGGTAGTGGAAAAATGAACATTATCCAGATATTAAACAAAGTACATTTAACGTCTTCAGTCATTTACAGTCCTCTGTAGTTGCTACAGAATACTTAATTAGTTGTCTTGGAAAAGTAAACTGATGCTGCCATGCGTACCCTGTTCAAGTACCTGCTTGCTTTATATGCCGTAGCTAAGTGTTTCTGGAAGATATAAGGTATACATAAGTTTAAGTTCCTTGAAGCATGGTATAATTTTGTTAGGTTGGTGCTATTTAAAATAGCGTTTGAAAGTAGAATTGTTTAAGGAGTAGTTAACTGCCGAACGGTACAAAGATTATCACATAACTTTGCATTTTTTAATTCTATTGTGAGAAGAAGCTGAATTTGAAAAACTTTAGTTTCTTTTTAGAGAAAGTACTATTTGGAATAGTCATGAAAGTAAAAAAAATCGACAATTGAAGTATAGATTTAAGATGGGTTTTTAACAAATGTAATTTAGGTCAGAATATAAATAGTTCTATGGAAGGAAATGTATTAATCCAAATAAGAATTTTGGTAATTCCGTTTATTCTAGGTAACATTAATACTGTAATTCTATATATTTTAACTTTATATAAACCTTTTACCATATGAGGATCTTACGTTTTCATAAACTAATGTCCGTATCAGTTTTTGTGATTATGCAGGTACCGTATGTAAACTTGGAGCTAAAATGGCGACTGTTCCGTACTGACTTGATAGTGACTTTTTTTTTTTCTTGAATTTGTTCGTCTGTCGACTCGTCTCAATGTCGGTCATCAGTTCGAATTATTTTTTTACTAGGTAGATTGCAATAACATTCGGTAGCCTGGTGGATTCCTTGGCGATTTCAAGTTTGTGGATGTAGGAGTGTAGAACTTAGGAACGCTTGTACCGACATTTCTTGGGATTTAGAGTAAACAACTTAGATCATATTTTCGAATGAATGAACGCTCCAAGGAAAACAATAGCCTTTGGTTCAGCAATCGAATGCAGTTAATTGTTCGCTTAATTGTGACCCCTCCCTCACCCAACTAAAGTGTATTTGTTTTAATTTGTTTCATAAATAAATCAATAAATAAATAGTACAAGTGGAGAAATAATGCAAGTAAGAAATAAAGAATAATAAATAAAATAAAGCAACAATTGCAGAAAAACAAATCGATTTCATGGGTATGAATTCCATATATCCGCAATCTATCAGACCTCTCGGTCAATTATGTCATGACCACGCACCCAGGTTCTTTCGCTTGAAATAGACCAATTAATCTTACATGATTGTTTTATCTCAATGTTGGTCATGTGGCCTTACTCTGGAGAACATTTCCTTTCAGATTTCGCTATGTGCACGTGCATATCTTCCCATAATTAACGAAAAGAACAAAGACATCCGCCGTGATTTATATGGCGGAAAAAATGAAAGCTTTCAAGAGGCCTATTCATTCCATTGTCGAATCAGAAACACCTCTCGCACACTTTTGTAAAGCAAATACAGAAAGCGGTTAAAAATAACTTGTGAAGTTGACACAAACTGGTTGGTGGGTTAAAAATCGACTCCAAGTATTTCACACACATTTCAAGGTTCGTAGGAAGAAGAGAGGAGCTATGAGCAAGTGAGCAATTCAGTGTCTTTCCCTTCGCGGTTTTTTGGATATATAACTGGATTAGAAGCAGTCGAGAAATTGGACTTCACTTGTCGGTTTCTTAAACACTTACTTTGAGAGAGCAAGTTGGGAGGTTGTCCGTCAAACCACCGATCACAGATCCGCTCAAAAGGTAAAAATCTTAAACGCTGTGCTAAGATAGTAACATACTTATTTTGCGTCGTTTTAGCCAATTACTTTTACGGTATATTTGCAAAAACGAATAAGCAACTCGAATAAGGTAGTAATTTTAAGAATTAATTTTGAGTTAAGCGGTAAACATTTCTGTACAAACCCATACATATATTTTGCATTTCGACTCTAATCATATCAACTATTTGTATGAAATAGTATGAAATTGCTGCATGCATAAGAATATACGGGATTGTTCGGAAATCTTACGCATATTGTCACAGTACTTTTGTTGATACCCCCAAACCTTTTGCGTAGCTATTACAGTCGTCCCAACAGAAATTGAGACGAAGCTTATGCAAAATTTTGGGGTTTAAATAATGTGAATATTGTGAATTTTTTACATTCAAAATATGCAGTAAAATTCATAATAAAATGTACTAGCCATGGAGGTATCTATGATGGGCAACAATTTGGAAAAATTAGCAAAACGCCAAAACAGTGAATGTTGTATCGCGCATTTTTGGCCGGTTCGTAAGCTAGGTTTCTCTTGGAATTTCAAGGTGTTGCAGTGAATCAATCTTAATGAAAGTTCCAGACATTGTTATATACATCTTGAAGATTTTGTGATGAGGTTTAAAAAGAATTTTGTCCAGCAGTTTTAGAGATGAAAACCATGGAAAACCATGTCGATCGGATCTTTTAATTGCCATTGTTGAATCTCCTTCAAAGTTTTGTTACAGGAATGACCAAACCTTTCTGATGGTCTGCAAGTCGTATTTCTGGCCTGCTATTTTTGCTACAGTGGCATTGATATCGTGGTCCTCAGCAGAACATAAGGTGTTATATCAAACACCTAACGACCACTGGAACTGGCATCCAAGGTCTAATAGTGTACCTGGAATTTCAGAAGTAAGCACATAAATTTTCTGCTTTGTTTTTTGTTGTTGTTGTTGTTGTTGTTTTTTTTTCCTAAGTATTCAGACAGACTTATTCGTATATTTATTTTTTATTTATTTCTAAATATTTCATTTATTAAGCATACAATTTAAGACCAAATATAGCAAATGTGAAGGATTTGGCCTCCCTCAAAAAGTTCCGCAGGGCGTACTCACGAGAGAGGATTTTTTAGGGCCCTATAATCAGCAATTCGACATCTTTGTTGTTGCACACTCTGTCGTCTGGGTAACATGTTTTATCCCATAAATCAACTTGAGCAAAGCAGTTGAATATGTTTTTTTTTTCCTGGGCCATGTTTTATTGATAGGATTAATCATATTTGAGCCTGTTCTCAACTCTTTCAATGAAAAGTCGCCTATCCACCGTTATATTAAGAGTTAACCTGTAAATTTTTTTATTATTATTATTATTATTATTATTATTATTATTATTATTATTATTATTTCTATTACTTGGTTTGGTTTCCTTTTTGTTTAACTTTTTTCCTTCTTTTTCTTTTCTTTTTTTTTCTTTAGTGGAGCTACTCCCCTGGGTCCAACCTGTATTCACTCTGCAGTATTCTTGATAATATTCCTCAAGAACCAAACAACTGGTTGCTAAGCACACTCATTGATATTCAAAGAATCCAAAGAGTGCAAGTCACCATTTTTTATACGATTGACCCCCCTTGTTCTATCAAACCAAACGCCAAGTTTTGCAACGACTCCTTTGATGTATTTGTATGGGAATCTGATATAAAGGTCACAGCAGACAAAATACCGAATCCTATAAATAGCAACAGTTCTTACAGGAAACTTGTCACCATCAGCGGGCCTACCGGTAGTCAAAGGACGTTACTAACAATTCCACTGCAAGCTAAAAAGCAATATATCGTTTTGGGGTTTCATGATCAAGTCGGCTGCGAAGTTTTGTATTCCGTCAAGGTCACCTACAACGTATGTCCTGCAACGACGCTCCAGGATAATTTGGTTTATTTACCGGAAACTACAGCTCCATCGAGACTCTTAGAGTCCATCCCAGTGGAAGGAATGTGTACTGCAGACTCCTCCCATATTCAGGGCAGTTTGAATGTTTGGTGTGAAAGCAGCGGTCAGTGGAATGCCAGTCAGTTTGAAGGGAAATGCGTCTGTAATGAAGACATGGAAAATGTTGGAGGGACATGTTCAGGTACTGTTACTCAGTATTCCTTTACAAATTTATGAAACGATAACAGCCGTGGCATATTGATCGTCAGCATCCATAGATATGGATCGAAATTAAATAAGAGTTACGTATACTATTCGAGGGCTTCATGACCCAACAAAAGCCAACAAAAACAAACAAAAAAATAGTAGCAACAACAACAACAAAAACTGTCAATGTGATTGTACCGAGAATGTAAATAATATGACCAAGCTACCCAATCACTACCAGTAAATTTCAGGATTTTAAATTTATTGAATAGACATTTATTATTCGACCTTATTTTATTTTTTTCTTCTTTTCAATTTATTAATAGCTTGTTCAGAAGGAACGTACAACAACGGAAAAGGACTTAATTGCACAGGTATGAAAATTCAATTGCCGTCTTTTTATACAGCTATTTCGAGAAATGCTCGCTAAAATCGCGAAGGTATTGTGGGTAGTTTTGAGTTCACTGTTCTTTAAAGAGACTCAGTGAAAGAATGGCACGAGAGGCCATTGACGTATGTTGCAAGTGCTAAATGAAAGCAACAAATGTAACAGGTTCGACAGCTACAGTGTCGGGAAAAGTGTATTGATCATATGACATAATTATTACCTTTCGGGATTGCCGTACACTTTTTTTCCAACAATCTTTCTCTAAATAGCTATGTATTATTAATAATTCCTTATTCAGTCAGTCCGTCAATTTGATAAATGAATAAATCATACACTCAGTCTCCAGTCGATTAATAAGTCGATCACGCATAGAGTCAAACATCACTTAGAGCATGCACCAATAATTGTTTTTGCTTTGTTCGTTTTTGTTGGCCAGTTGGTTTGTTTCGTTTTCTGTCGTTTTGTTTTTGTTTTTGTATTTTTTTTTACCTTTCCATACGGCGAAACTCGAGAGAGAGTATGAAATCCTAATAAAAACCTCTATTTCTGCCGTTCGTCATTTTTTGATGTGTAAAATGATAGAGTATAATCATAAAGTTACTCACCCACAGCTGATATTCACTCATTTATCTGCTGAATCTTCTACATCGTCACTTTTTCTTTTTCTTTTTTTTTTTTTTTTTGCGTAGTTCTCCCTTCAAACCCTAGAAATATTACCGTGCCCTTTGTGAACCAGAGTTCAGCTTTGATACGTTGGCTTCCTCCTGTTATACCGGGTGGCCAGGTATTTTACGAAGTTGAGTGTAAAAGAACATGCGAACTTAATGGCAAGGACTGTGCTGAAGAAACCTGTGATGACAATGCAGGGTATGTATTCAAGGACAAAATCTATTCGACTAAAGTTATGATACCCGAGACAACGCGTGCACTTTCGGCATATGTAAACTATACTTGCAAGATCATTGCCAGAAACAGAGTCAGTGAGATGGCCAAAAGAAAACACAAGATCGAAGCAAGCAGCGCTACGATAAGCTTTAGAACAAAAGGATCTGGTAAGTCATGATGGCATTGCCCAGAATGTTGCGACACATCCCCTACTTAAATGAACTCGCATAAGCATTCAGCTTACTAAAAATGGTTGTTAACAAAAAAATTATGGAATAAGAAAGAAATCTGGCCAAAAGCAGTTAGCTCACCACTTTGAATTACGATGAAAGATTTATCAGTGGCCAATAAAGTAAAATCTTCTTGGTTTGCCCAGATTCTTTCTGAGGGTATGGGTTTCCTTCTACTGGTGAGGCCAGGTTACTCTGAATCAGATCGATAACTCTCTCTAGTTAAGAGATTAAATGGGTGAAGTTGCTATCACGGCCAATCCTTGGCGAGCTCTGATCGGACGTGGTTAGACGCGGAAAGCCAAGAAAAGGGCCAATCTTCCTACCTCTGTTTTTTCTAAACTATAATCGAGTAGTCATACTACCTTACCGTACCTTTCCTTAACTTACCTAACAAGGTCTATTGGAGATAGTTTATTTTTCTTTGAGGGCCACTTGCCCGTCAGTTTTTACTGTCATGTGTTACCCTCATTAAATAAAGTTGTACCCTACCTTACCACAGGATACCAAGTACCAAAGGATTTCCAGGATTAGAAGTTGCGTTCTCAGTGCGTCGAACGGAATAATTGAGTAAATGATGCCGTTATTGTGATCGCATTAGTAAAAAGTCGGTAGTTATTTGTTGACACATTTGTTTTTGTACGACAGTTCCTGGTAAACCAAAAGTGTCTGTTCAACAAGCGGGAGTCAGTGTTATCTTGTTTTCATGGGAACTAAAATGTAAAAATGGCCTAATTGAGAAATTCATAATGGCTTATTTCATTGTGGATGACAATTCTGATGAACAAATTGTGACCACAACAAAGACAAAACTGCAGATTGAGAATTTAGTGCCAGGGAAAACCTATGAATTTCAGGTAAGCTATGTTGTTTAGAATGTATTTTTTGCTTCCAAATTCTTATGAGGGTGCAGTAGAATCTTGATTTAACGGACCTCTATACACGAAGTCTTCGGTATAACGAACGATTTTCTTCACCCCGGCCGGCCAAAATTACAGTAAAATGTATCGAACAGAACCTCGATTTAACGAAATATATGACAACGTTCTTTAGCTAGTACAATTGTGCTGAAACAATTATTTCAAAGATCGCCTTTTTTGTTTTCAGATAACTGCAGTAAACAACTTTGGAATAGGACCAAACGCTGTAAAGAGGTTCAAGATTCCAAAAGAATCAGGTGAATCTATTCAAACTGGTCTGTAAAACGTTAAATCTAAATTACTTTGGAGTTTTAGCCCTCTTTCTGCTTGAAACAGCAGGATGGCCTTTCCGGCTGTACTTCAGTCCAAAATTCATGTTGCATCGATTCCGCAGTTAACACAAGATAATCTAAGAGATTCCGAATTCAAACTAGACTTATCAAATCTACTTACGAAGATTTGCCTTTTGGAAGTCACTATTACGGAACAGCCTAAAACCGTCAATTTACAGTAATTAGACTCTCTGGAAGAAAAAAAAAACAAAACAAAACAAAACAAAACAAAAACAAAAAACTAAAAAAAAAAAGGAAACATATACTCCCTTAAAAACGGAAGTTGATGAACGTTTACAATTCTATTTCCGCCTTTTCTTTATACTTTTATTCTTCTTCTTTGTATTTCTTTGCCATTTTAAGACCAATTGCTTGTAGGAGTTTTAACCTAACCGGGCCTCGTTACAGTCCTCGATTATTTATGGTGATTTCACTTTTTGCAAGAACACAGTTGAAACTTATTACTATTAGCTACTATTTCAATGTTTATAACATAACATAACATAAAACTTTATTTATACTCGAATTTTAGAGTAGCTAACAAGCTAATATCTTCGAGCTGACACTACATGAAAATAATATAGAAATATATATATATATATATATATATACATTAAATGCATTATAAGAAATAATAATAAAATAATATTAATAATAAGAAGCACATTTAAAAGAGAAAATATTATTTACAATTCAAAATTTTAAGTTTAAGTATATCAGGCAAAAAGAATCTACATGAAGGTGACAATCCTGTCTTTTGGTCTTAAAGTCTGCAAAAATCTCTTGCTTGTGGATTAAGCTGATCATATTCATTATAATTATATGATGTAGTAGAAGGCTTATCATCCAAGGCAAAGAAGGTGATTGGTGGCGTTGCTGGAGGTGGCGGTCTGTTGTTACTTGTTCTGGTCATCATTATTGTCATCATTCTTCGCTTTAAAAGGTATTGTAAATTCAATTCTCTTTAAGTAAAGGTAATCTCCATAAGATGGACACCAACTCTTAACACTTTTTGTTGAGTCTCTGTCTATAAGACTCTGGTAAGACGGTCAGCTTCTTAGATGGTCTCTGTGGAGTGGAGGCAATTACGGTTACCGGTTATTATTACTACATTATTACATTATTATTACATTGTACCCGCTATCCGTCTTCTCACTATTATTGCTTTATGTCTGCATCTAATAATTACAAGTGTCTGTGCTTTATTTTTTTTAAATTTTAGGAGAGGTGGAACTAGCGAAGAAAGAGAAAATATGCTCTCACGGGGGCAAGGTATGGTGGGAAATCAAGACACTTGCCCTGTGGGTTACTGGGTGGGTTGGTAGGTGGGTTGATTGATGGGTGGGTGGGTAGGTCGGTGGTTAGATGGATGGATGGATGGATGGATGGATGGATGGGTTGGTGGATGGGTGGGTGCAAGAGCCATTATGGCTCATGCTGGGTGAGTTGTTGGTTTGGTAGGTTGTTGAGTGGGTGGGTTTGTGGATGGATGAGTTGGTGAATGAATGAGGGAACGAACGAGCGAACGGATAAATGAATTCATACTTGTAAAATACGCTAAAGCTATCTGTTTAATGTTAATCTGCTTGTTTAGTAGACATATTAAATTCTGCAAGCAGAATACTGCAATGCTGATCGTACTACGTGAAAATTAACTCTGCAAGACATCAACACACGACACCGAAAGAACTCAAGACAGAGCGGGATTGTTGGGATTGTTGCAGTCCTTTGTGGTTAATGTTTGTGCTTGTTTCGATTTGTTTATTTTTTGTTATTATTGTTATAATAATAATATTAATAATAATAACAATAATAATAATAATAATAATAATAATAATATATATATATATTTTTTGTTTTTCAGGAAGTACTAAGCGCGGAACGGGAGAGCTTATCATGGATGGTGTAGAAGAGAGAAACGCAGACCATGTAACAAATCACGCTCAATATGTAGAAATTAATGACATTCACTCTTATGAGCTCAAACGTGACGACATTAAGTTCGAAAGATTGGTAGGAAGTGGCAACTTCGGTGAAGTTTTTAAAGCCACTATTGACAACAACACGGCGGCTGTCAAATCTCTCAAAGGTAAGATATATGTCACACTGCCTTGCTTCTGTTTACACTTCACGTCCTGTTCGCTTTGGTTTCCCGATCAATCTGCAAACACGAAACGGCAAGTATTCACTCTCCGTCTTTGGGTCTCTGAACAATCTGATCATCATTACATGTTGGAAAACGAGATCGCTGTTCACAGTTTCGGGATTCTTATACTCTGTTACATACCAAACTAGTAGTGTATAGCCTGTATAGTTCGGTTATTCGAACTCGCAGAAAGGAACAAAACTAAACTGAGTACAGCCTCGTTCCAAGTCGTCATCGGCGGGAACTGATATCACTCACAGAGGTTATCGCGAAACTTTGGCTCCAGGCCTCGTGCGAAGTGGCCCGGGTCTGGGGACGAGGGGGCTTCCAAGTTTTATCCATTTTGGTTTTCGTTTTTTGCATTACTTGCAACTACCTTCTTCCCAGTATCCTGTGATACTCGTCTCAGGGAGACGGTTGGAAAGGAAGGTCATGGCAACAACGTTGTAGTGCACCATGTGCAGTATTTGAAATAAACCACCGAAGCACTGTGATTAAATGTTGACTGTTTTATCAGATTTAATTGTCATTTAAAGGAAGTGCCAGTGCTAAAGATAAACAGGACATGGTTAAGGAATTGAATGTGATGAAAAGTCTGAAGCCCCACCCTCATGTCTTGAAGCTAATTGGCTGCTGTAGTGTCAGTGGTAAGCCAGGTCCTACATCACTTGTGTGTTAAAATAATAATGAATTATTTTAATCGGTTCTTTTTTTTTGTTTGTTTTATAAACCAAAGCTTTTGAGATCCTCTGCATTAATCGTCTCGGAGCCAAGGAATATTGAAAGCTTCTATTATATGAAAGCCTCCTCCCTTCTCATCGTAATTTCAATAGCGGGACAAACATATACAAACTCAGAAACGCGATTCAACTAGATACTAAGAAAAAAAAAGCGTGGGACGTTTAAAATTAAGAATCTGAAGTGTTGCTTGACTTTAATCTTTTACCCAGAGGAGTGAAAATGTAAGATCTTGCTTCCGCCTGTTCGTGAACAACTGCGTGCGAAAGAAAATAGCCTATTATTTACGTTTTTTTTTGTTTGTTTGTTTGTTTTTATGGCTGGCCGGCCGGAACGGATCAAGTTATTCACGTTTATACTTCATATATTTGTCTGTAGATCCCCTTCTAATTGTGTCTGAGTATTTGCCATATGGTGATTTACTTGGATATCTGAGGAAGAGCAGAGGTCATTCCGACAACTACAACACAGGAGAGAAGAAACCCGCCTCTAAGCTCACAGCCAAAGATCTCTTGTTCTTCGCATGGACGATAGCTGATGGGATGCAATATTTGGCCACAATGAAGGTAAGATGAAACGATGTCTTTAGTAATTTTTCTGCTTGTACAAAGTACTACTGGATGGCATGCAAAGTCTATGGGGCAACTAGCTGCGATGTTGAAAGAACGGTAAATCAGAATCAGTCGTTGTCAAAAGGCGAGTAATCCTTTGAGGCTGGTACAGACTTGTATGACTAATATATATGCACTAAAGTGGACCGATATATTTTGTTTATACATTCCTCGTTATTGCACAAACCTTTGCAAAAACTGAAACTGAATCTGACTACCCGCTGCTACAAGGAACCAAACTTATTCCTTTATCGTTTTTCCAGTTATAAGTAGTTTTATACCTTGACTAGTTCACAGCAACGCGCAACTGTTCTTTTTTTGTTTATTTATTTATTTATTGGTTTTAGTTTTAAATGCGCCCAAGTTGGTTAAAAAATCCATCACAAAAGTATTATTTCAGGCAGTGATTCCCAATCGAGTTTGTGTTATTTCATAGCATTCATTTCTCCTTATTTGTTTGTTTTTTTTTTTAGGTCGTCCATCGTGATTTGGCTGCTCGTAACATTCTTGTTGGCGAGAACCAAGTGTGCAAAATTTCTGACTTTGGACTTGCGCGTGGTGTAAAGGGTGACATTTACGTGCGGACATCACAGGTAGCGTATCATACATTTGCAGCGCAATAAAAAATACATTTATCTTCTTTTTTTGCGATTTTGATCGGGTTATTCTGTGCTGTTGCTTATCGTTTTATTAATGATGGTCCACTTGTTCTTGCTTTACAAAGGCTCGTCTTCCAGTCAAGTGGATGCCCCCAGAGTCTCTTTTTCACGGTGAATCCAGCACAATGAGTGACGTGTAAGTCGTCTTTCTTCATTTCTCCCTTTTTTTTTTCCCGGTTTTCTTCATATCTCTTGCCTTAGGTCTTGCTTACTGACAGAATATATCATCTGTTTGCACAGTTTATTGGAGGCAGGAGTTGCACTTTGTCGATCAAAGAGGGGGTGAGGGTGGCTTGACGGTAGTGCGAAGTCTTTAACAAAACCCAGCTACGTTCAGGAGGGTTCCTTAAAATTTATCAGGGAAAAATCGTTGATACATGCAACCATATTCTTCTAGTGATCAATAAAAAAATTCGGGGCACCCAACGAGAATATAGTTCAAAACCATTTAAACCTGGCATTGATGAAGGTATTTTAGTATTTAAACGGTAGACATAGGCATATTTTTTATCTCCTCAATAATTTTCATCTGTTCGGATTTCCTAGCTGAAAGTCTAGTGATCCGAAAATTATAGGGATCAAAACTTACCTTTTCGAAAATTTCAGCCAGAAAAAAGGATCCCGGAAATTCTAGGTGACCTTTTTAGGGTAAACATCCGTTAAAAATGGGCAATTATACCATTTTTTATATGTTCGAAAATCCTAGGAGAGGCAGGCTAGCAAGANCTTGTTTTTTTTTTTTTTTTTTTTGACAGGTGGTCATATGGAATTGTCCTATGGGAAGTTTTTACAATTGGTAATAAAAAACGATCGTTTTTTCCATAGACTGCAAAACAGCCCGTATGCTTGCACATGTCAAGAACTCAAAAAGGCGGTCGAAGCGTCTGGAGAACACCCCCAAAATTGGTTTTGCGGGAAAAAAAGACGATGGAATAAGAACAACAGCAACACGACGACGACTGTTTTGGAGTCTATTTTTAATTTGCTACATCAGTTTCTAAATAGAAATGTTTATAATCCATTAAATATCATAATAATCTGAGAGTGTCTTATTTGTCACAGGTGATTCTCCGTACCCCGGCTTCAACTCCCAAAAAGTGACTTCTCTGATTGAAAAAGGATATCGAATGCAACGGCCTGTCCATATCTCTGAGGAATTGTGCGTTATTATAGTCTATTCTTTACGTTTCTTACCTAGAACTAAGTATACAAATCCTCAAAAGTGAGAACCTAAAGGGGTCCTTAGTCTACTTAAATAGCATTCGAAATAGACATCATCTGACTAACAAACCTGACAGGACGGCGCAGTCATCTCCTCTCCTACCCCCAACCCTACCACCTAACCTCTCTCCTTGAGATTCCCTTTTACGGGTATTAAAATCCACTTAACAGTTAATGCTACATGGAAAGGAAGTCAAAACAAGTATTTGAGATCAAACCTGGGAATCGACCTCTCACCTAGAAGGAGTGACTCTTACCGACTGTGTCAGTCCTTTAATTTTATTTTTCAGCAAGTTCAGTATGATCACATTTGTCAATAGATAGGTTTATTGGTGGCCTCGATGGATTGATGGATAGATTGACAAGTGGAAGGATAGATAATATTGGGAATGAAAGTTTTAACCACAGACAACTTCCGTCGTTTTAAGACACCCTTGGGACGGTGGGGTATAGTACGTAATAGCAAGTGTTATCGGTGAAACAACAGTAATGTATTTTTGCTGAGCGAATTATCGGGTGTCCATATTAACAAGGTGGCCTCATGGTGAGAGTTGACTTTAAAAGTTTAACTTATAGAAAGGCTGGAAGTCGTAAGGTCACGTTACCATGGTAGCCATTGACCGTCTCGGTCAAGAAAATATTGTTGAGAGCCAGAAATTTTGCTACCATGGCAACGTGACGTCACACTTCTCCTCCTATTACCACGCTGTTTGGTTGCTCTATCGATCGAATTATTTGTTTCTTACAATCAGTAACTGAAAGTGCTATAGGTGTTACGAAAAGAGGCAAAATTTCCATGCATGGAAACAAAAATGCTACAATGTTGTCTAATTTTCAGATTTTCCGTTCTGACTGAATGCTGGGCTGAGAATCCTAAAGAGCGCCCTTCTTTCCAGTGGATCTGTGCTGCTGTTAAGAGACTAATGAAAGACAAAAAGGTAAAGAGATAAGAACATGTGAGTTATTACCAAGCGTGAGGTCAGGATAGCTGGTTATTTACCTTGGGTTTTTGTTGTTTGTTTGTCTGTTTTTTTGTTGATGTTGTTTGTTGATGTCATCATTTACGTAGGGTTTTTGTGTTTGTTTGTTTGTTTTTGGTTCGGATTTGGTTTTGTTGATGTTGCTGTTGTTTTGTTCATTTCTGTTTAATTTTTCTTATCTTGTTTTGTTTTACTGTGTGTTTTTTTTAAATAAATACATAAAGCGTAAACTGCTTTGTGATTGGGATCGAGGATAACATTCTTGAATGACCTGTTTTACTTTCTCTTGTTGCTTTTTTAAACAGGTTCACCTTAACCTTGATGAGTATAACGATGAAGATTATGTCAATTTTGATATGATTGATGAGAAGCTTTAAGGCAAAGGCTTAAAGGGCCAAATGCTGGTCAACTAACGAAGCAAGAAAGTTGTCCAAAGTAGAACGCACTTGAATAAAACAACGGAAAAGAGAACGTTTTGTTTCCAAGCTATTTGTTGAAAAACTAATGATTTATCATCTCCTGAAGACATGACGAACAGGTTTCAGGTTGGCCTTTTGAGTGACATGACGTTAACAGAAGAAATTTGCCCCTAGCTTCGTTAACAAACAATGCAATTTTTCACGACACTTTGAACAGTTTATACAAAAAATTGAAAAAAAAAAAAAAACACACACACACACACAACCCAAGATTCAAACCGGTGTTTTTCGTCTGCCAAACTCTCTCTTTAGTACAACTATAATACCACACTGGCCGACTTGCCAGAACTGATTCCAATAATATTAAGTACATATTAATTAGTTTGTCATTGTATTTGATCCAACATTTGTTATTAAAATTGGTGAATCTAGCCCTTTCCTGAACTCTGACGCAGTCAAACTATACAAACTTTAAAATTTCGTTCTTTCTAAGACGATTTAATAATGTATATCTTTGGGTCTTTTGGCCTCATTGGTCCTAAATCTTATCCAAAGCATAGATTGCAACTACAATGACCAAAGGCTTGCATTGACTGTTCACTTGCTAATGAAGGGAAACAGGTCTGACAGAAAACGTTTTGACTCTTAAATGGCTGCTAGAAAAGAAATCGTCTCAATATATAGTGAGCATGGGACCAAGTACAAATTTACCTTTTAACGATGATAATACATTCCCCTTTTAAGACAACTGGGGTCCTTACAAATATTGCCCCTTAGAAATAAAAATGCTAACGCGCCAATTCTTGGTTTGCAACCACGTGACAAGGCGGCCGTGTTGGGGTTAAAGAGAGAACTGCTTTTATTCTTCACCACCAACGTGGCCGCCGTGATGTCACTTGCAAACCTGCAATAATGTAACACACTTAGCAGGACAGAAAAAGCTCTTATAATGACGTTAAATTGCTGTTCTGTTTTTCCCTATTCTGTTTTTAAAAAGTTCTCAACTGTTAAACGTTGCTAAAAGTCAGTTCCTTTATGTAGTGAAGTTACTTGCCGGAAAACATGAAATAAAGATGGCTGCATTTCTTCCCCTTTTCAAAAGGTTTGCAAACTAAACTGAAAAGTAATAAGCCATAGGACCATGCGTTAACATCACCATGCTTCATTCACAGACCAAACAAATAGTTTTTCTCTGTGGAGCTGAACCCATTCATTTGCCTCGCTGCTACTTCATATTTTAAAATGGCAGTTCTTGAGAAGATCATGATGGGATAGCCAAACAATTATCTCAAAAAACGCCACCTCAACCGCAATCCGAAGTCACCACCCCCTACCAATGCCCTCCCCCCCCCTACCACCACTACCACCACCACCATCCCCCTCGCCCGCCGAAAAAGGAAAAAAAAAAAACAGAAAAGTATAGTCATCATAGCCATCGCTAGTTCAAGTATATATTTAGAAATTATAGAAAACTATTTCTAGCACTTAAGACCTTTTACAAATGTAATTTGGAAAGAAATCTGATAAAACAAAATCTCCAGCTATCAGTTTTCAACATGCATTTTAATTTACTTTTTGAATTTGGGTGGGGAATTGAAGAGTTTGAAGAACTATAATTATTAGGGGTCCTCTGTAAGCTAGCAGGTGAATAAGAGGATGGTTTGATACTGACTAGTGTAAAAAAGAAATATTTTCTAAAATCTTTAGACAAAGTTATCTACAATTTAACTTTAAGAACTAATTTAACTGACCCAAAATATAACCAAAATCTTAAAACTCTGGGCCAGAATGACAGTTCATCTTCTACACATGTTTTTTCTCATTGAGATTCATTTGTTACAATCAAACCTTTCTTTCTTTTTTTCTTCTGGTATCTGGAGGAAATATGTTATATAGGAGCATTGTAGAAGGAGGGCCCGTGACAGCCACACTACAGCTAGCATTATCGATGCTCTTATGGTCGTATACTAAGACTTTTAACATGCAATTTACTTTGCTCGTTAAATTTGGCATCTGGAGGAAATATGTTATATGGCAGCACTAAAAGAAGAAGAGGACAGACTATGGGGTCACTCTACAGCATAATTGATGCTCGTATTGTCGTAAGGCTTATAGACTATTCATATGAGTTGAACTGACGTCAGATCATACATGAAATGCAAGGATCCGGATTATTCTTTTCTAGCCGTCTTTCTAACTTATCCAAATTTAACCTCACTTCCTCTCCATTTATATTACTTAGGGAAGGTAAAATCAATTAGTACAATTTTTACTTACTAGACAAGATATTTACTAGAAGTTACCTGAGTTTGAAAGAGATATTGTTTTTTCAAATTAGTTAAAAATCCGCATGTGACCAAAATTCACAATACTTCAGCCACATGGTTCTGACCTTGATAGGTTTCCGCTGTAGACAAAACAATTAGTTAAGATAATTTTTTACGATAAATCCTTTTGACTTTTTCAATTAATACCAAATACCAACAATCGAAGGTAGATAAAAACAACCGATCTATATAACCGCTGAAAAGATAAATTGTAAAATGGATAATCTATTTTATCAGATGAACGGGATATTCAAACAAAGCGAAAAGGAAAAAAAAAAATCACCATTAAATGTTTGTTTAACCACACACAAAAATAAGGCATGCATAGAGAAAAGGAATTTTAGGCTCAGAATAAAATATAGACGTTAAACTTAAAAGAAGGGTTACATCGGATCATTATTCGAATAATGCCAATATAAGTCCGATTTGAAATGCAAATAGAAGACTGAATATTAGTCAAAGAGCAGTTTCACATATACTTTAAATATCGCTTTCTTGTTAGAAGAAAATATCCCACATTATTAGATCGTACACAACTAACTTGGAAAGCGAAAATCGACAAAACACGGTTCAGGACGGTTCGCCTGAAATTTCCGCTTAGCGCTGAATCAGATGTGCCCCGAAGAAAAGATTATTCTGACTAAAATCAGACCTTTGAATGTGAACGTTAGATTCTATCAATCAGTTAATCCACCTTTGCATAGGAAACATAAGGACGGGCAGCCAGAGTTTTAGGCAGATAAGACAAATAAACGAGTTAGAAAAAGCCGGGAAATCGTTGTCCATATCAGAGTCTTCCTTTGAACTCGAAGTCTAGAAGGCAATGAATTACTCGATTTTTTATTCATTTGTTCCTTATTATTTTTTAATGAAAAATATATTTTGGCTGGTGACAAACCTACGCAAGCTGCAACACAGACAGCACCATTATTTAATGTCAACCGACTCGTAAATTATGTAAAAGTCACCACCGTAAAAAAATTCAAAAGGAGCAGCCCGCGCCCATTTGTGTGGGCGGCCCTGGCTTAAAACGCCAGCTTTCCAAGTGAAATATTTTACAAATACCATTAAGCTTTATCGGTTCAGTTGGTAAAACTAGATTTTAATATGAAGTTCCACATCGAAAATTAACAGTTGAATTTTAGCTTGCAAGATTTTGATCGTTTCGTTGGGTCTTCAATTTAACGTTACAAAAGAGTTTCATGCCTTCCAGCCTTAAGATACTCAATTTGTATTGCTTTTTACTTTTTGGAAGTGATTCGATAACGCAAGTTGGAAGATTGTTTACAAAGAACGTAGAGTACCCAGTGGATAAAGAAAAAACTGAGAATAAGAACAAGAAAAATACTAGAAGGATAAAATGATAATGATTTTTTTTCTCTTGAGTTATCCAAAGAAGGAAACTTTTATCACCAATCTATAAAAATTCATTAATACTATAGCCTCGGAATCTGGGATCAATATCTGGCTGTGCTATCTACCTTCTAAAGGTTTTGGGGCAGCTGAAGATGTGGTGATGAAGAAATTTTTTGCATAATAAAAATTAAACAGACATCAGTTGGCATTTGTGTTTTTACCTACAAGAGTAACCAGCTATTACAAAAACGTACACTCCTTGTTCGCGGAATTATTCATGTTTAGCCAAGGTGATATAACCTCCTAAGTAGAAACGTACGTAAGTATAATCTCTCACCTACTTCGTAAATAAACCACTTGGTGGTCCTAGAGTAAAAGGCTTTTATAATTATCAATTATGACCTCATGCTTCGCACGCTTTGTATTACATTTACTTTTTTAAATACCGTTTTGAACGTGCACAATTTTTTATTTGTAGAAAAAATAGTACTGCCCATTTCTGGTCAAACTGCCACGGTTTAATCCTAATATCACGATACCTTCGTCGAGTTTGTTCATTATAGTTATTATTAACTTCTAAATCGCTCGTACAATCTTTTAAGTAAGGTAAACTTGTAAAGAGTCGAATTATAGTAAATGTTTGCAAATTTGCTTATCCATGCTTTTCTCTATTTGATTTATGTTCGCCAGTGTTCAGTTTTCCTTTCCAGTCAGTTTTATCACGAGTGATGCCCTGTCACATACTATTTTATTATTCAAGTCATACAACGGAAAGCGGTTAAGTGTACACGCACACGTATTTTTAAAAACACAACTTTATGTTTACGGTAAAAAAACAGTTACTTTTTGTTCAACAAAATTTTCTTGCTAGGCACCATCACATTTGTTCTTATCGTCATTTAAGTTCAACTTCATTGGTAAAAGGAGCCCTTCTGTTGTAGTCACAGTTTGAAAAGACAAGCTTTAACATTCATCTGATAAAGAAGGGAAAATAATTTAAAAAGGTACAGTACAAGTTGTAAAGAAAGGGAAAGAGATATTACAACATTTTTATTCCTCGTGGCATCAGAGTAGTGACGTCATCGTTTTCATTCTTTCGCGTAATTTTCACAACTTTACGATGAGGAAAGTTACTTTTACAAACGTGTTGGCGATATTAAGGGAAAGGCATAACCTTTAGCTTGCGAGCAAGCTCTCCTATTTGGGCGAGTGAAGCGAGTCTCGCGAGAACGCGCGAGCGAGCGGCGAAGCCGCGAGGAGAGCTTGCTCTTAGGC